AGCAGTGTGCATGTTTCATCCTGCATTAAATATTCCTCCTAGTAGAGTGGGCAGAAAACCTTCATGGTTTCCCTGAGTCCATCCAGGCAGGTGCTCAGAGCCAATGGAGCTCCATGAGTCCAGCTCACACCCTGTGTGCAACAACGTGGGGGGCCCCAGCCCACCCACTGGCTGAGGAACCAGCCCTGGCACTGCAGAGATGGAGACTCCCTGCTCCAGGGCTTGGCAAGAGGCTTTCAACTCTGGCACTGGCAGAGCTGAGACACGTTGCTGCAGGATGAGAGCTGCTGGGGTCCCCATCACCTCACCCCATGGCTGGCACCCTACCCGCCTGCCCAGGATGGGTGGGCAAAGACTATGTTCTTCTTCTTGGCCCAGCGGGAGAAGATGGCTTTCTCGGTGATGAAGCGGTGCCCGGCACGTTGGGCTTGCTCGTGCACCAGGTACGTCTTGCACTCATCCATACGGCCCTTCTCAAAGTAGTGGTATGGCACACTCGAGTGGTTCTTCTCCCTGGCAGAAGATGACAGGATAGTTGCGAAGCTTGAGGGGACACCAGACCACCCCACACCTGCCCCGATGCCCCCCACGTACCTGCAGTAGCTGTCGCTGACCATGCCGAAGACGCGGATCTGCTCGCACAGCTCCATGGCCAGGATCATGGTGAACCAGCCCGTGCTCAGGAAGGAGCCAGACTTCAATCTGCAAAGCACCACAGCTGTACTGGAGTGGGTGGCACAGTGCTGCTGGCCCAGCTAAGTGCCTGGTGGTGGGGACAGGTGGTACCTCACGGGGACCTGATGGGGCTCCCCACTGGTACCTGTTCTTCCCTGTCTCGTTCTGGAAGACATCGTCACAGTATGTCATCTTCTCCTCAGTCAGGGTGTAGATCTCCAGGTGAGGGTACATCTGCATCACTTTCAGCAGTGCCTGGTAGGTCGGGCCCACCTTCTCCCTGTTCATCATCTTTGCTGGCCCCCAGATGATGTAGAGGGTGTCCTTGGACTTCTGGAAGAAGTAGGGCTGGTTCCTCAGCAGCAGTGGGACGCTGGTGTGTGAGACCACCCGGATGGTGCACCTCACCCCCACGTCCTCCTCGTAGCCCGCGGTGGGGGCATGGTTCATGCGCAGGACACACTCCTGCTCGTCGATGGCCTGTGCCAGGCGGGAGCCCAGCATCTGCCCCGAGCTGGACACGAGGGCGCAGCGGTAGCACAGCGCCCGCTGCAGC